TCTTATAACGTCTGCCCCTTTTATCCCCCCCAATATATTCAAACAAAACATAAATTACAAAACAATACAAATAAAAATAAAAACATCAACTCAAACAACAATTCATATAGCTTCGCATTTTACTTTTCATATACCTTCAGAAAACTAGTTTTTATCTGTTTCTTAAATACATACATAGACCTGGTATTTTTAAGATCATCCTCCAGACCATTCCACAATCTTATACCCTGGATTAAACTATACCCTGGATTAAACTATTCCCTGGATTAAAGTACATCTTTCTCTCAAGCAAGTGCGAAAATACGGCTTCACAAACATTTCCATCCCCTTAAGATAATAACAACTGTCTCTCTTAGCAAAGTTTACCTGAATGTTGGAAGGTAATANTTCTGCAAAACAAAAATTGGATTTGTAATTGTTTTACATGCTTTAACCCAGACTTCAATACAGTAAATCAAGTGTGGAACAATTATTACATTATGTAACATAAACAAAGCTTTGCCATTAAATTAGTCCATTTATATGATACTGTAATTGTAAAAGTAAAAAAATAACAATCATTCCCATTGTCTGCATATTTTAGGGCTGTAGTGGACACATCAGAGTGTGGAGAGCTGTCCCAGTGCTCTGTGCTGAGCTCATACAGAGAAAAGCAAGAATACGCGACGTTGGGAAATGCCGAGATGCTCAACTACTCTGTGAACATATACGATGAAGGGAACACGCTCTGCATCGTTACCAGTGGAGGTGAGTTCTCCTCGAACTGCACATCTAAGGCCCTCTGATTTTATTTATTTATTTTTTTGTTTTATAAAAAGGAACACTTCACCGAATTCGCTCATTTGGACGAGTTTCTAAGTTATTTTGGCCGCTGCCGCTCCATGTACCTGCTGTTATCTGGTTATGAAAATACGAAAGCTGAGCTCAAAGTTTTGTTAATAAATGTTTCTTTTTCTATAAATTGAAACTTGTGTGACATTTATCACTGTGTCATTTTTATCATGTTAATGGAGGAAGAAAAAAAGCAACATCGACTTCAAGAATCGGCCAAAAAAAATCTGCAGCAGGTATCGGGCATCGGTTAGACTGATGTCAAAATAATCAGTATCAATACTGGCCTTYAAAAAAACCTTTATCGGACAGGGCTATTCAACTGGCGGCCCACGGGCCACATCTGACCCATGAGTGACYGAAGTTAAGCCCGGAAATCAGTTYGTTCATCTCTTAAGCCCAAACCCCTGGTTTCTACTTTAATTCCTTTAAGTTCTTTTAGTTAAACTCAGACATGTGTGGAGTCAACAGAAACTTCACAATCTTGGGTAGAAGCTGGTTAAAAAAAAACATTTCTATGCAAACTCAAGACAGTTTATGAAAGTGAAAATAAAATTAGTTTAAAAAATTTGGCAAGACAGCAATGTCAAAATAGTGTTAAACAAGAGGCATAATTAGGGCTGCACAATATGTCTTAAATTTATGGTTATCGCTATAACAGCCAGTGCAATATACATATCGCAAAAAAATGTATAAATTGCAATAAATTGAAGAAATTTATAGTTATTATAGATTAGTACTGATGTTAGAAACAACACCAGAGTATTAGGGTTTCCTTTTTTATAATACTTTTATAATTTTTGCTCTATTATGTGTTAATTGAAATAGAGTAGCTACATGTCCGAATCATAAACAACACATAAGTGAACCATTTTAAAAACATTAGGTTGAGGTCTTTGTATGAATGCCTGTGATTCAGCCGTAGGTCAGTAGGGGGCGAACTCAGGCATTGAAGAATCGTGTATAAAAACATGCACTTCCTGACTTTGAGTCAGTGTGGTTTTGCTTGTCAGCCCGGTGACAATAAACCTCACTCAGATCCAGGATTCTGGTGTTGTATGACTTTATTCCTTTCACAAATCAATTTATTTAACAATTGTGTTTTCATCTGACTTCAGTCGATATTGAACACGTATTTTCTTACAAAATGATTGGCTCTAATGTTTGCATTTATGTGGTTTGTCAGTAGGGATGCACCAATATGAAAATTTCAGCCGATATCGATATCCGATATAATTACTGTTGTTATGGCTGATAACTGATATTTACCAATATTACACAAACACACAAATTATATTATACATATACACACAAACACACTTGGGTCTTTTTTTTTTTTTGATACCGTAAATAAACAACCAGACCTCTGACATGGCTCCCTACTTCAGTTATTCCTGGCTGCGCAGCATCAATATCACTGTCATGATCAAACAGATGCTGCTCAACCAAACATCTACCCTTCCAAAACACAAACACAAAGATAAATGTGGTAAATAAATATCGGCCCAGTTTTACATATTGGACCGATAGGATATTCTAAAAAATGACCAATATCGGCTGATACAGATATTAATGCCGATATATCGTGCATCCCTATTTGTCAGCATCAGTCTGATAAATCAAATGGGCCAGAGAAAAAACATCAAATCATAATCACTCCATCATGTTGTAATGGAAATTATGTATTAGTTGTTTTTTTGCTTTGAACCCAGCAGAAAAACATCAACACTGCATAAATATTTTTTGATTTATTGTATATTGTCATCGCAATATTAAACACCGTTATCRCACATCMCAGGTTTTCTTGATATTGTGCAGCCCTAGGCATATAGCGTTATTTTTTTTACAAAGGGTTCTGTATGTTGTATTCATGATTAAATGCAGCAAGATAAACTATTTCAAAGGTAACAGATCTTTGTAATACTTGGTTTATTTATATAATGACTTTAATTGCTGGATGTTTGGCCCCTGAGCTGTTGACCTGCAGTAACTGTGGCCCCCGGAGTGATTTAGTTGAAYAGCCCTGTCACACGATGTTTGGACACTCCAGTGCAATGTGCTTTTTTCAAAAGGGGCTCACGGGACTCACGTGGCGAGCATCGCAGCGGGGTACTTCCCAGAGGAGCCAGAACGTAACGGCGTGGCTCCTGGCGCTCAGATTCTGGCCCTGAAGATCGGAGACACTCGCCTCAGCACCATGGAAACGGGCACGGGACTTATCCGCGCGGTAAATACGTCAACAAACAAACCATCAAAATTTAAAATTTTTAAATAAAAAAAATATATATATCTTTGTGTCTCCCTCTGCTTCTGGAAGATGATTGAAGTCATCAACTACAAGTGTGACCTGGTTAATTATAGCTAYGGGGAAGCCACTCACTGGCCTAATTCAGGGTGAGCGCTGGAAAACCAGGTCTTTGAATTTTTTATGGTTTCTCGTTTCATTTTACTGCTTACAGATTGTCGTTGGTGCTCGTGTGTGTGTGTGTGTGGGTGGGTGTGGGGGGTGCGTGTTTCTTTCAGGAGGATCTGCGAGGTGATCACGGAGGCCGTGCAGAAGCACAACGTGATTTTTGTGTCGAGCGCGGGAAACAACGGCCCCTGCCTTTCCACCGTCGGCTGCCCGGGAGGAACCACCAGCAGCGTCATCGGTAAACCCGTCCCACTGCCGCGTATCTGTTCAACTAAACAAAAAAAAAACAAACTGCGATTCTAAAACTGCCGGGGCGTTGTGTAAAAAAAAAATCTCATGATCCGTATTTTATTTTGAAAGGAACATAATAAACAGATGTTTTATGGCAGCGACAGATCTCAAGATTTATTACCGGAGTCATGTTTTCAGCAYCTATGGCGTCTTTGTAGATGTGGAGGGCTCATGCAAGGGGCTTTAATGCACCCCCATACCATCAGAGAGGCAAGCTTTTTAACTGAGTGCTATTAAAAGGCTCCCTCTCCTTTTTAACTATGGAGGACGTGGTGTCGGGTTGCCTCGAACCATTTTAAACAAGCTTGGGTTCACGGATGGCTTTCTCTTTGCATGATAGAGCTTTAACCAGGCGGGAATGACGAACTGCGTTTACTGTCAATGATTTGTGGAAATGTTCCTCAGTGATCACGACCATCCAGTGTTGACTCTCAGCTCTTGAGCTCAGAGATTTCCACAGATTCTAAAAATCGTTTGATAGAAACATCAGCTGTGTTGATGATGAAATATTCAGTTGTAGAAGTCAGAAGATCACACGATCAAAGGGTGTTACGTTTCACAGGTCATTGAAATAATTTTCATTTTAAAAAAATGGCGGAGATGCAGGAAGTAGGTCAGTTATGGTAGCTTTGTTTTGACAACCTTATGTCGGGTAAATTATATATAAGACTGCTTATAGATTTATCTCTTGGGAAAATACATATTTGCCACAACACTGCCATTTTTCTCAGCTTTAATTTAAGCCATATTTTATAGAAATGAGATAAGAAATAAGAAATACAAATATTTTTGTGACCGATGCTTATCCCTCATTGGAACTGTGTTGTTTTGTTGACCTGAGTCAGTGAATAGTAACGGCGCCTGTGGAGGCGTGTCACTAGCTATAGCGGCTAATAGGCAACGTCCAATCCAGTAATACAGATCAATGAGTTATTTATCAATGGGCGATATTGGCAAAAAAAATTATCATGTTTAATTGTGGTGTTCAGCCGATAACGATTAATAAGATGATTAATCCTCTGGGGTCCTAATTTAAATAGCTCTAGCTGGAAAAATACGCTCTCTCTAAGAATCTAATTCAATTTGTGTCAGAAGTACAGGTTTTTAAATTGTGTCGACTGCAAGTAAAACCAGACCTATGATAAATAATTTATGGCACTTTTTTATGTTTGTTGGATTTCAAGCAGCAAAAATCGGACGAATTCATGGGGGGCGAAAAGCGCCTGCATTCTCCTTCTGGTGTCACACCCACCCCGCCGAACTAACGTACAAACACCGACCTCCTTTCAGACCCATGCCTAAAATTATTTGACAAGCGCCAAAAAAAAATCTACAGGAAAAAGACGTGAAATTTGAATGAAGTTTGGCAGCAACGAGATTTAAGAAATTTATATTATTTAGCATGTTTGGATTTTATAGTCAGGGTGTAGTTTATTTATTAGTTTTAGTGTTTGGATCAAAACAACGAGGCGTTTTTTTGAATGTGGAGCTGTGGACAGATGGACCTATCAGAAATAAAAAGCTCAAAGGCAGAGATGATGAAAAATACAAAACCGTCTGAGACAAACGGAGGACTTTGACAAGGAAGTATGTGATTCATTATTTGGTTTAAAAAAAGGAAAAGGAAAGAAGAGGAGTGCCAATTGGACTTAATCAGTAACATTTTTTCTGAGGATTAATTGCACAAAATACGACCTCTGCCCATCTTTGCTTCTGAGAAACTCAGACTCACTAACTGATCTTTTTACTCATTTTTAACAGTCGCAGGTTTTTGGGTTTAGTGTAATATTTTATTCTCACTGTGAGGAAGCTAGTTCCTTTAAAAATGTGATATTTTAGGAGCTATTTTTGATTGATGTGCAAATAATTACAATAAAAGCACAACTTCAGCTGGTATGTATGAATTCTCCCCGTAGGTGTCGGAGCGTACGTGACCCCAGACATGATGGTGGCCGAGTACTCCCTGAGGGAGAAGCTGCCCCCTAACCAGTACACGTGGTCGTCCAGGGGCCCGAGCACCGACGGGGCCCTGGGGGTCAGCATCAGCGCCCCCGGCGGCGCCATCGCCTCCGTGCCCAACTGGACCCTCCGCGGCACCCAGCTGATGAACGGGACGTCCATGTCGTCTCCCAAYGCCTGCGGGGGCATCGCGCTCGTCCTCTCAGGTTTGTGATTCAACAATTCGGGGAACGCGAACACACAGTTGACGCTAACAAGAAAACTTTTTGTGATTTATTAAAAAAAAAAAAGGTCTGAAGCAKAACGGGATCCGTCCCTCTGCTCCTGCTGTAAGGAGAGCGCTGGAAAACACGGCTCTGAAGGTCGACGACATCGAGGTGTTCGCACAGGGTCACGGGATAATCCAGGTACCTCATCTGCTGTGAAAGATTTATTTATTTTTCTGGTTTTAAATGTAGTCATGACCGAAAGTGTTGGCAGAAAAAAATGGCACCAAAGACAAAATTGTTGGCATTTTTTCTAAATTTTGGGTAAATAACCTTGATTTTTGTATTGTATAAATCAGAGATTCTTAAAGGGATCCATGATTAGTTGTAACATTAGACTTTATTTGATAAACAT